AGAGAAAAACACAGAGCATGACAGCAACTTTACTGACTTTACAGCTTATTTTAAGCCATTTTAATCAGACACAGCAATACATAAATAAATTGTTCTCCGATGTGCGGGCGGACACACGCACGGACTCGCGCGCGGACTCGGCCGCGCGGACGCCCGCACATCAGAGAACAACACAGAGAACATGACAGCTACTTTGTGGTTTTTATTGAGTCATTTTAGTCAGATACAGCCATGAAACTCTGGATTTCTCCATAATGAAGGCTGTCAGCGTTGTTTACCCGCGTGCTTGTGCTGGTGCATGAAGTGTGCCGTGCTGAAGCACACCTCTCCGAAGTGTGCCAAAGCCAAGGAAGTGTACCGTGCCTGAGCACGATACGGAGCGGTCACACTGGTCAAACGAACTGGACTTTAGGGTTGAAGCGTGCTTGGGCACGGTACGGATGGCCAGTGTGACCGTGCCCTTAGTCTCCCACATCAATATCATGTTCAATTCAATCTGTTCTAGAAGGAATGTCAAAAAACAAAAAAGGGTACTTGCCTACCAAGTCAAGCAGGTGGGACTACAACAAATCCAAATTTTAAAGCTGTTCTGAACTTTTCAAAAACGTAGAAGTCACAGAATAAAGGGAAAAAAAGTGTTACCTTTTTCAGTTTGTCGTCCCTAACTGTAGTACAGGACAGCTGCCTGGCTCGTTTGGGCTGGTAAACAAGCAGGAGGAAAGACAGTGTACATTTTCTGAACCGGGTCACTTAATTTACAGACACCTGCAGACCTGTACACACACTCCTACCATTGCGGGAGACTCGATCATAACTTCTCATCGCCTACATTACCCATAAGCCACCTACTAGGCCTAGGCTGGTAACAAAAAGGCAAGACGAAATATGGGAAGGACACCAGTTAACTGTTAATAATTATTATTTATTGTGAGAAAGTAAACAAATGAAGTGTTAACTACACATGCAGTGAGTCCATCAGTAAATGGTTGGCATGAGAATTCCATGTCAAGAGTTTCATGTGAATTAAGAGATCAACAGAGCCACACTCAACAGGCCTCTAGCCAATTCCTCAGAGAACAAGGGAGACAGAACCAATTAGTAGAAGCCTGACTATAAAGGTAAGGCAGTGACTGTCAGACATGTACAGCCTACAAATTCCTTTTATTTGGATACACTTCTAATAGGTTAGAACGAAGACATTACATTTACTCAAACCTGTCAAACATACATTTCTTCTGCAACACTTATCAGCCTCAGCAAATCATATTTACTTTTCAGCCAACAACATACACTTGGCTCCTATATAAATATAGATCTGCCTCTATAGAGGTGTCTTACACATACAGCTACACAGAACTACAAAAATCATTACCATGAGGGATGAGTTCATGAAATTCATACTAAAAACACCCATGAACAGCTGATGGTCATGGGTGTGATCCTTTTATCATTATGTAGAGTGCACATGAGAGTCACATTTTTGCCCTTTTGTGGGAATATAGAACACTAGGGCCGTGTTGGCCGTAAACACAAAGTTGGAAGAATGGATTAGCGTGTTCTTTAGAGATTAACTCTGTCCTATTATTTTCTAATTGTTCCAACCAATTTCAGCTGTCTTTTGAGAAGTTCATGTCCCAGGCTGTACGGAGTGAAATAAATAACCACAGGTGATGTTGTGGCCACTTAGGCTCTGCGTCAAATCCAGCACAACCCAGATTCCCTGGTTTCTCTCAGGGGCTCCTCCCTCTGGCTGCCCTTTAAAAATGTGCATGTACCATTCACAAGATCCATATATTTATTCCATACATTGCTGGCCTGGAAGGTATACACTACTTAAAGGGGCAACAGCCTAAACCTCACATGCCGGTCATGAATAATTACATTGGACCCAGTGTTGTAAAGAAATGGATGCAGTTCCACCTACTTATCCACCACAGTAAGGATTGCTGCAAACTTCAGTCCCTTCTCTGACTAGCAGGTCTTGATCATGGTCTTGGTCATCAAACCTCAAAACCCTTGAGAATATGTGAAAGGTCCTTCAGAGACATTGTGGTTCCAAAAATCGCTCTTCCTGTCTCAGCAGTCCCGCAGACTTCCAGTAGACTCTTCTCTTGACCTGAAGACACTTGCAAGTATAAGGATCCCAAAGTAGGCATGTTAATGTATGTTGTCCATCTTTTCCCACTGCTCCCTAAAAACACGTCTCCCCTCGAGGTTGGTCATGTCTGGAATGATTTTCTGTATTGAGTCAGGAATCAGCTGCTCAAATAAGGACATTATATCATGAACCCGAGTCCTAGCCATTGGTGTGGGCCCTGTTACCAGCATCATTATAATGTATTAAGGTATAACATTAGCAGCTGAGCTGGGAGCCCACTCATCGAGGTGAAAACCATTCAGTATGGCTATTCTTTTACATGTATGTGTGCTGTGTAGGGGTGTTGCAGTGAAGGGACTTTCATCGCCGTGATCCAAGGTGGCTTAATAGCGCAGTGTCCGGTATTATCACACCCCCATTTGTTTGTGAATCAGGGCTCAGAAATCAGCCTGCCAGCAATGATTTATGTCCCACAAGGTTACTTTGATTGAGACTTTAACTTATTTGACAGTTTGTTTTTTAAAAACCTATACAGTACGATTTGGCTAAAGAATAGACCTACATAACGTGTTGCGAGAGAGAGAGAGAGAGAGAGAGAGAGACAAAGATAGAGATAGAGTGCATGAGCTGATACGCTGCACGGACCTCACAGAGTTCTGGGCCAGTTGAACCTGTTTTCACATGTAAATACTAAGCCTGTCATTATGTGTTCTGTAGTCAAATCGTACTGCACAGTTTTTACAAATACAAACTGCCATGGTTATACCTGTTGCTGTCACGATCGTGCTGTATTTCAGCACCAGGCACTGTGCAGTGTCTTATGCCAACATTTGAGGCTGGGTGAGAAGCTTTAATGGGTTTGACTGCATTCAGCTTAAGAAATAACTCAAATTCACCTGAAGTAAACTGAGGTCCATTCTGTGTTACCACCTCTTTTGGTAAACCATAGGAGGCAAATAGGTTTCTCAAAACCTCAATCGTTTTGCTGGCTGTGTTGGTCTGCATCTGCACTACTTTCTCAGGCCAGCGAGCATATATGCATCCATAACAACTAGAAACATTTGCTTTTTATCTTCTGCACTGTAAAGATATTACGTCCAACAAAATGATAGATGGACAATTACAATTATTTTTAGAATATCAGGCAGGTGCTTGTACATTGACAAAGTCTTCTGACTTGAAATGACAGCTGCAGATGTCATTTGGCTCAAAGTCTCTACAACAATGTGGAGAGTGCCAATGCAATGGAAGTAGCCTGTGAGTTGGCCCTACCATGCCCAAGGTCGTCTTATCCATATCAGACTACCAGCAAGAAAACAAGCGTCATAAAATCATTATAATCAATTGTGAGCTCTAACCCAACACTTAAAGAAGAAATAAGCTGAGCAATAAACCTTTTTAACCAGCCACTTTTCCTACAAGTCGTGTGAGAAGGCCACATAAGCATTGTGGGCGCCCCTCGGTTTGGCAGGCAAACAGCAAACCAACAGGTGTTGCAGCGATTGAAGTGGGCAAGCGAACTGACAAGTTATTTTGTTTCTGACTTTGCCTATGCCAAATCCATCAGCTTCTCAACAAATGTATGCAATGTCTCACCTGTCCAGGGAGCTGAGGATCAAGTCCCAACTTGTATTTATGCCAGTGGTGTACACATGAATTGCCCCCAGAAACATTGCAGGCGTAGTTTCACCAAAAATAGGATTTAGTCAGTCAAGTAACACGGTCATGATCTGTCTATTTTTAAAGGTGAAACAGCAATCAGTATTGGAAGTAATTGCAAACCTGGCACTGCACTATTCACAGATTTAGGACACAAGGAAACAAACTCTAAACAAAAGAGACAACAACAAACTAACACAACAGGCAAATAGAACCCCAGCAGCTCACTGTGTGTTAAGACAAGGACCATCACAAATGGAACTGTGCCCTCTGCTGGGGAAACATGAAATATATTCCCTGCACTCACACAGTGCTACATCTACAGTATTTTCCCATTTACATACAATACATTATTTTTATATACGTATATAACCCCAAATTGCGGCTGTGTGTGAATGTGTATGAATGGGATAAGTTAATACTGAAGGGAACTTTAAAAATCAGTATCTGGATTCACTGTGTGAATTTAGTGTGAACGGGTGAGTCTGACCTGTGGTGTTAAAAGCACTTTGAGTAGTCAGAAGACTAAAGCTCAAGAAACAAGCTCAAATCCATTTACTATCTGTAAATGGAGAGATAAACAATCCAGTCCAACTGTACAAATATTGATCATAAAAATGGGTTTTAAATTAGTCATAAATTAAAAAACATCAACTACAGTGGGGAAATATGACCATTGCCATTTCTACTTAATAGTATCAGTTGTGCTGAATTTAACATTCATATTTCAAAACTATTAGTTATGTATATACAAACAACAGGTTGCTTACATTATTTCCAAGGACTCACACCAAATGATACATGTAACTCCACTTTGGAAACTGGAAAAAAGTTTATAAAAACCAATCTTGACAATAAGCATATGTTATGATTTCAGGCTGGTCTCGTGCTGTTATTCATAACACATAACATGCTATTTTAAGTTATTTCATTAATGGTTTATTCTTGTTTTTTCTTTACTGCTCTTTGGGGTCAATCTGTCGTTGTGTTTGGTTGTCATGTAGACAGTTTTTGTCACTTTATCCCTGCTTTAATTCCCATGCTGACAAGCTCATCACCTGTTGCTGCCATGAAAGGATATAATCTGATGCCAGAATAACAGCTTACTCCATTGACAGGCGGAGAACTGGAGGCCCTTCTTTCTCCTGCAGAGAAGAGGGGGATTCAAACGGCCCATTCTCTCAGTAGTGCATTATTTATTGTTATAGATACAGAATAACAAAAAAATTGTCTTACCTTCAATATGAAGGAAAATTTTTCTGCAATCACAATGTTTACTCTCTCAGGGGTAAGTGGCACAACGAACTACAGAGTCACCCTCTTTGTTCTTACTTTTTTGTGTTACTGTGTGATATGGCTTGTAAATATGACCATAATTGTCGTAACCATTGTGGATAAAAACCTTCATCAACCCATGTATATCTTCCTCTGTAATTTGTGCATCAATGGTCTTTATGGAACTGCAGGCTTTTACCCCAAATTTCTCAAGGATCTTCTGTCTACAGCTAATATTATATCGTATACGGGGTGCCTCCTGCAGGGTTTTGTTTTGCACTCTTCAGCTTGTGCTGATTTTTCTATTTTAGCTCTAATGGCCTATGACCGATATGTGGCTATATGTCGGCCTCTGGCATACCAATCAGTGATGACTAAACAAAGAATCTGTGTGTTTGTGTTTTTTGCTTGGATTATTCCTTTTTATCTGTTGTTCATGAGCACAGTCACAACGTCGATGTCAAGGTTATGTGGCTCACACATACCGAAGATCTACTGTATTAATTATTTGGTTGGTAAACTAGCCTGTTCTGCCCCCATAGCAATGATCGTTATGCCAGCTTTTAACTATACTTTTTATTTTTGCCATGTTCTTTTTGTTGTTTGGTCTTATATTTATCTGATCAAAACATGCCTTAAATCACAAGAGAACAGAAGTAAGTTCATGCAAACATGTATGCCACATTTATTCTGTTTAATTATTGTTGTTGTATCCTTGCTTTTTGACTTGCTGTACATGCGATATGGCTCAAAAGAATTACCACAAAGTCTACGAAACTTTATGTCGATAGAATTTCTTGTTATTCCTCCAATTATCAATCCACTGATATATGGTTTCAAATTAACGCAAATGAGGAACAGAGTTCAGCAAATATTGTTTGGTAAACGTGTCAATACTTAGGCAAAAAGTTGTATCGTGGGGAGAATTATGTGCCCATTTGAAAGTGATTAGACGTTGTATATTATCATTTCTCAAGGTTGTGTGAAACAGAAATGCAAAGAAGACTGCTAAGATGAAAAAAAAAACATACTGTAGAATAATTGTTTCAACATTGTTGTTGCTAGACCTGTCATTCATATTTTTCGTTGTTAAATAATATTTGTAGCATAATCTCTAATATGTCTAGTTATTTTATGTCTACATATATAATGTGGCTGTGTTAGATTTCTAAATCAACATTATTGTGAAAAAAATATATTTAATTTGTTATTGTTACATAATGGTTGTGCATTGTAGATTTAAGATGAATTTTGCTCCCGTTTGCCTACTGCAAGTGTGTAAAAATAGAGAAAACATAATTACATGTCTCAAAAATACTATAATGTTTTGCATGTTAATGTTCTTGAAAAGGTCGAAACAAGCTGCAGTGAAAAAAGAGATTACATCCAAAATAAATGTTGAACTGTATATACCATCCTTCTCTGGTAATAAAAAATGGAGAAACTGTTGAACAAAAAAAATGAGTTATTTGTCGTGAACCCATTATCAGTCACATTTGATTTAACCAAAGCAAGCCTGGATAGAGCTGGTTTTAAATTATACATAAGGGTAATTAACCCCCCTCCATACTTACATTTGAATTTGATGTTTATTTACACATATATTATATATCCTGAACACATTTAGGGCTTGAAACCATGTTCATATTGGGTTTAGAGAAAAGCAAAGACACTGACACAAGTCATCGGGACACTGTGTATAACAAGAAAAGCAACAACTTCACAGTTAAGCTTCCACAAAAAGCCTTTTATTCAGGTTCAAATTCAGAGTTAATGCCACAGCTGTCGCATTCTGTAAAAGAGTCCCTGAGTCAGAATAAACTTATTTCACCGAATGTGCATTAGTGCACATCATGCAAAAATGAATTGACTACTGTAGAAATGATGATAAATAATAAAGTTGGAAAAGGCTTCATAAGCATCTTCTGTGGCTACAGCCCTGTTTGTGGCTTTAAGTAGAAGAGAGGCATCATTCAGTATTAACAGCTTCAAACCTTTGCAGATTAATTTGTGAACTGAACTACGGAGGACAGCCCAGTTTAAAGATTTCAGCTGTAGCTTTTCATTAGTGGTACATTTGGCTGTAGCCTAAATGCATGGCCTGTCATTCAAAGAGCTATTGCAAAAGAACATAGGAGCACCTTAGCCATTTCTAGAGGTGAACATAATCATTTACATTATGCACATTTTTATACAGTCTACATCCTGTCACATCATGCGAAAGGGTGTAGACATATATCCAAAATGTCCTCAGGACATTTGATGGACAATTGGTAAATAGGTCATTCAATTTGTCTTCTGCAAAGAAAGAACATTTACATGAACATCTACAAACTTTTAATGAATGAGACATTATTTACCATATGTACATATTTTCAGGTTACACAGTTGAAACTGTCACACTTCACTACATATTATATCTTTGTGGAAAAATTGTGGACGTGTCATGATGGATGAGGGATGAGTGATGTTCATGGGCCTCAGCGGCTCTGTTGATGGTTGAGAAAACTGCAAATAGGAAACGGTCAAAATCCTTTTTGCCTGGATTCCATTATCTGTATGCAATACACCCTCCTGCCCCAGAAGGGTTATATTTATTTCATACGATATGCTGTGCAAACAGAGAAACTGACACAAAATCAAATAAGTCAAGAGTAAAATGTGTGATTAAATCCTTTAATAATCTCGTGTTTAGTTGATGAAAACATAAAAATAGCCTTAGAAAATAAAACAAAATTTGAATTGAGGTTCCATTAACTGAAGTGTCATTGAGATTTAAAAAAGGACATGAGTCAATTTTTGATGTCATTGGATTTGAAAAACACGTTCAAGTTACGTTTGTATTTATTTTCTGAAAAAAAAAAATAATGAAATGAAACAAAAACCAGTGGAAAAATGTCCAAATACTTGATTTACCTCCTCAGAATTCTTCCTGTTTTGGAATATGATTTTTATTGACAAGATGAGTTGGACTGCATACACATCTGCTGCTGGATGTTGGTTTCAAAGAAAAAACAAACAGATAACAGGTGATGAGTCTCTAAAATCATTTTTTGAGGTAAAGCAACTCAGTGTTTAATTGTCTAAAAATTGAAATGAATTACTAATAGAGCTCTTTATAGATCAGAGCAGACTACCTCTTTATTAATCCTGTTCAATTCTCAATTTTAAACTTTAACACAAGATAATTGGCAACTAATCCCAGCAAATTTCTTGCTAAAGCTGAAGACATTTTCACTCCATCACTACCTCATGGGCTCAGTGAGCTTCTACATTTTCACACAAAATTAAGCAGCACTGTCTATTAAGGCTTGCATGAAATCTGTCTCGAGACAACTGTAGGAGGATGTACACTAAATATTGCTGAAGAGGAGTGACGATCTACAAAAATGTTTAACAAATCAAACAATTTTTTTGATGAATACAATATATGGCAAGTAATGTGGAGGGGAGGAAGAGACAGACAAAATACCCGCTCCATATCTTGCTACCATTGTTTGCATTTGGGACCAGGAAATGTGCTGCGTCACATTGACAAACTATTTAATTATGTTCTGCAGATTCAAGAGTATGTTTTGCTGCAGTTTGAAAAAAAAAAAACTGTAATTGTGAAATGGCTTGGAGTTGGTTGCACCAAAATATGGCTAGGACATATAGCGAAACATTGCTTTGTGCACATTTTGTGTAAACTGCTTTCTCTAAAGAATGACAATGTGCAATTAGAACAACCAATTTAACACAATGATTTTCAAAAGTAAAGTTTGTTTGTTGTTTTAAAAATGTTTATCAATCCAAAAAAATGTTTAACGCTTCATTTTGAGCTGTAATGGGAGGAGGGGAGTGAAGATTAAAAAGTCAAACTAGAGGTAAGGAGTGGGTGCTGTTTTTAAAGGGGTGGCAACTAAACAATCCCTTGCCTGAGCAAGCTTGATTTAAGGCAAAGGTCAAAACATCCACATCTACAGTCAAAATCTAGACAGCAAAGGATATGCTAACTGTTTGGAGGCTACATAAAGAAAATTGATGTCTAGTCTGGAATCTGTTGAACTGCTATTGAATTACAGGAGCAGCACAGTCTTATCCTAAGTAATGACTGCTGCATTTCAAATATGATCAGAGGTTGGGCGGAAGGTTAAACTGCTTCGGGGTATGCATTGGAATTCTGTCGTTTGCGTGGATGAAAATCTGTTTTTAGGAAAAGCAAGTGCAAATCAAAGTAGATGAATTGGAAAAATAATTTAAATGTGTCAAGGTGAGTCTGTGGGTGTCGGTGCTGCAGGCTACAAATGAAACCTGTAACAGATGGTAATAACTACCATCTGCCCTTGATGAGGGCAGATTTCACATTCTGAGCATTAACATTAGCTAAACAGAATCCTGGCTCTCCAAACCAAAATGTCAAGAGGTCAGTTCACCAAGATTGCAAAAAAAACACAAAAATCAGTCTTGCTCAGACACATTGCAGTTGAAGTTTACAGGTGGTGCTAAAAATGCATTCAAAAAGTACTCTTACCACCACTCGTGTGCTTACAACTCACATAACCCAATTATGTCAGAATGGTTAGCCTATACTGTTGCTTTACAAGCACCATATAGTTACTGGTGAAAACTGAAATTATCTTGAGATATTGTTTCTGTAAAAACACACTGCTGTTCTGTGACAATGATTTGAACACCTTGGACAACTTTTTCCCCCTACCATGTATTGGAGTGTCATTGGTGCCTTTCAGATCCTGTGATATTATAACCCCAACTATCTGCCAGGCCAGTCATCAAGGCGTTAGCTGGAAACTGTTTTGCAATTTAGGGTTAATCCGCCCTTTTACACTGAGGATTCCAAATGGCCCTAAATCACCGTTTCCCATTGCAAGTACCACTATGGAAAAAAAGGGAAGGAGATGTCCAGCATACTAAAGGTTTTTAAAAAAAATGCACTGCCCCTGGATGGAGGTTATGGTTTGAAATATGGATCAGCTTGTGTCCGACAGGCAAAATAAATGAGCATGTCAGCAGTCTCTGAATGGTTTATGACTGTGACAGGAAGTGGAGGTAGGTAGCTCAGAGCAGAAAATGGACTGCTTGCTGTTCTTGTGTCCTTGAACAGGTTAGAAGTCTAGCTATGGATTTTTTACCAGGAATTAATGAGATTTGGATGGAGACAGGGAGTCTCTAGCAAGATTAAGAAAGAAACGGGGAAGATGGTATTTTCCCCTTTTTAATATTCTGTGTTACACCAGAGAGCTTAAAACCATGACCTTGTATGCTCTCTCTCACTCTAGGGCCATTATGATTCCTAAGTCTGGCCTGTATTGTGTTTTCACAGCTGGGTGTCCTCCCCGGCCTGCCTACTGACTCAATATCGGGGGGAGAATAGACTTGGGCAGGAATTAGACACCGCAGGATGATCATACAAAGGCAGAGGATGAAGCTCAGAAGATCAGTTTTGTTTCTTGGCGCCCTGGTTGCCATAACTGGAACCTGTTTTCTTCACCTCTGTGACCCCTATGAGTCGACGGATAGCTATGGAGGCTGCAGAGAAAACAAAGAAAACAAGCATAAGAATTCAAATGTAAAACCAAACTGCTCCTGCAACACCTTCAGGAGTTTCATATGCATTTGTTTTCCTGGTAAAGTCAAATAACCACTGCATCCTGGTGATCCCTAGGAGAAAGACGACACTTTTATTCCAATGGCCACTGGTGCATTTGTTACTTACCAATGAAGAGGAAGATGATAAAGCCAATAATGAGGAGGGGGGAGCCACTAACTACAACTCCACAAGCAAAGTTGATGAGGGGTGAAAGGAGCAGGGTGGCCCAAAAGAGGAAGTTCAATAGTGTCCAAAGTCTGCGACGTGGGATAATTGTGGGTCCAGGGAACTTGCCTTCCTTGTTGTAATATTCCTGCAAGGCATCCTGGGGAGAATAGGCAGAAGAAACAGTTTGCAGTGTATGAAGTGAACATGTATACCATTTGCATTGAAACAACAGAAACCTTACACAAATAAATGCCCTAAAGGAGGAGATAACGTTGAGAGAAAACAGATATCCAAATCAGTAGAACATTACTGGTGTCCTCCTCCTCCTGAATGGTAAACATGGAGCCAACGCACTAAAAACATTGCTGAGCAAGACTCATCACCGTTTAGTCAATTTAAGGGGTTTGGTATTTTGCCCAACGATACTTCAATATGCAGAGTGAGGAGGTCGGTGACTGACACACCACTCTTCTGATTAGAAAACAACAATCTCTCCTTCTCAGCCACAACCACCTCCAAGATAAAATAAGTTAACATGCATAACTTCAATCTTAATTTATCCACCTTATGACAACAAACACTTTTTTATAGTTCCTTTTAACGTAATTGTTCAGCCGTAACAAGTTCCTTTTTGTGTGGTTAAGATTATGTCGTAACCTCCCATCTAGCAGAGGGTCCTTACTTATCCATATAAAGTCAACAATCAGTTTACCTTCTCCTGGTAGAGCTTGTGCAGCCAATTTGCACACTCTTTCTCATCATCTGGTATATCCTCCACAGGGAACCGCCTGGTTGGGGAAGAGTTTAAAAGTACATGGGGATAAATAAACATAACAATTGTATGATCCAATGAGATGTATGTCAGCCATCTAAAACTGGGAACAAATCTCAAGACACTCAAAATAATAGAGAAGACATTCTCAAACAATAAATACAAATATTAGCTTGATAGCTAGATATACAACAGAAAATGTGTCATCAAAGTTTAGAAGTATAAGACGATAATTTAATAATTCACAGCTTGTCTTTGAGGTTTCATACCACCAGGGGGCCCCCTTACCATACATTCAATGCACCATAATATTTTTGTGATGACAGATTTCAGAATCTTATCCAACCGGCACATTAATGTTGAATACATTTTCCACCAGGAGAGACTGAGTAGACCTGACTCTAAGTTTTCATCATTATATTACGGTAACTAATGTTTCATTGTAAATGGCAGATATCTTTGTGCTCACCTTACACTCATGTCAGCTTTGTATTGCTTGCCATTGACAATACCCAAAAGAGTAGGAGTTTGGTTGTCTTTGAAGTTGAGAGTCACATCATACACGGCAGAAACTGAGACAGAAAAATACAAATGTATGGTTTAAGGCTGAAATGTATTTTGAGATTTAATTGTGTGTGTGTGTGTGTGTGTGTGTGTGTGTGTGTGTGTGTGTGTGTGTGTGTGTGTGTGTGGCCATACCTGTGCCCTTAAGACACGATAGTGTGGTGGTGAATCCTTTTGTTCGGGGCAGCAGGTGGTATTTGAGCTGGGGCAGGCCTTTACTCTCTGCAACCTGCATGCTGATTTGGTGCTTTTCCTCTGTAAAGCGAGTCCCCTCACAGTACAACAGAAACTGTGGAGGAAGATGAGCTGTTTTAATACACAGACAAAAAAACCTTTCATAAAAAAAATCCCACAGATTTAAGGTGACCGTTCTCTTGCCCTGTCTACTCTCACACAATGTTCAAATGAAGTCACTGCATGAAGTCAATAGTAAGGTGGTTGACACGTTTAACAAAGATTGTTCAGTATGTTATCCAAACACATTGAATCTCTGTCATTAGCAGTGGCCTGGTGCTTAACTTAGGGGTAATAAGATCAACTGCCTTAACTGATCTGTCTAATCTCACCAGGTGAACTGGTTGTGTCACGTGGGAAAACTGACACAAGGTGCTTTAATCCTTTACTAAAGGTGGACGACAAACAGCAGGACCTGTTGTCCCCAGCAAGGTTATTACCGTTAGCTAAAACTAACGATAAAACTAAAGATTATTTTACTGAAACTAAAATGAAACAGTCTTTACAAAAAAAAAACGATGACTGAAACTGTTTTTTGTGTTTACAAAACGAACTAAAATGAAATTGTAGACAAAATGTCACACTGACGGATACGTTCTTTACGTTTTGTCTTGGGAACAGAGATTTCACCCAGGTCTATTTTATGAGTCATGACTTCACATAATTGCATTTTAGGTCATGATTTGTATTCAAATATCAATTTAAATAAATAAAAGTAAAAGTTAGGAGTATTTGAATATTCTAAAATGATATGCCGTTTACATTCTCTGGCCCTTATTGGTCTCGCCCCTGACATGTATCCCACATAAAAAAACTAAACACTAAAACCAAGCATGTTCACAAAACATAAAACTACACTAACAAACCTGCATTAAAAACTAATTAAAAAGGGCAGCTGAGTGGTTAGTTCGCGCACCCCATGTACAGAGGCTAAAGTCCTTGAGACGGGCAGCCCGGGTTCAAATCCGACTTGTGGCTCCTTTCCCCGCATGTCATTCCCCACTTTCTCCCTCCCCATTTCAGACTCTATCCACCGTTATATCTCTTCAATAAAAGGCAGAAAAGCCCAAAAATAAATTGTTAAAACAAATTATATATATATATATATATATATATATATATATATAAAAACTAAAAAAAACTTTAAAACTGAAATTGAAAACAAAAAGTCAAGTTTTTTTTAAAAGGATGACGGTAAATATGTTTGCTTATTTAAACATGAGACCCATTTTGCCTTCCAAAGCACGGTGGAAGTATCCATAGACTATTTATGCACAGCAGACATCCAGTTCCAGGAGTTTCATTGAAAAAATATACAAGAACCCTCCTGTGGAGACATATTCAAACATCTGGCGCACTCGACCAAAATGCACATATGTATCTGCCAAGATCAACCAACAATGGTGAAACTAGGTGGAAGGGCAGAATCTGTATTTCCTTATACTTTTCCATGTGAAATCTCAGGAACTAACAACACTTGTTTTAAGAGTTATTATCAAGTATGATTTTATGTTGCATATTGTTTCTAAGTAGTAATTAGGAACATTTTATCAGGCTGCTTAACAGCTGATATCTGGGACAAACTTCTTAATGATCCAAACTACAACCAATGGCAGAAATTGATATCTGCTATTCTCTTAAACCTTTCACTTACTTTTCTGCTGACACACAGTTTACAATTAAAATAAAAATACTCAACTATTGTTCCACACACCTGATTGTATTTGAATCTGGTCTGATGTCTCACTGCTTGCTCTTCTTAATATCTCTATTATTCTCTAGGATCTCAGCACTTTTCTTACCAAGTAAATTGATCAAAATCATTCCAATTCATAGAACCATAATTCTACTTATGATCCACCATTTTATTCTTTTGTATCTAACCTATGTTTACAGTTTGCAACCTTGAATAGAATCAATCACAGCTTCACTTTGATTGGATGATGTACTACTTTTTGTAAGCAACAAGTCAATTCTGATTGTATATTAGCCAACGCAAAGTCAAAAGGTGATTAAAAATCCATGTATGGTATTTGTGCAAACAGATTTGCATTATCATAAAAATAAATCCAGGCTAGCTGCCAAACCTTAAACATAGTTCATTGTTAACATATTACTCATGCTATAAGATCAACAACATAAGTACCTACCCACATACATTCAGGATAATCTTTGAGCCTGGTCAATCCTTTAAAGACAGTCTTTCGGTCCTCCTCCCACTTTCTTTTGCAAAACACGATTTCTAAGAAGTACCAGGTCCAGCCAATCAGAGGAACTTTCAGAAGCTCGTGTTTGGCTAGCACTTTTGAACTCTAAAGAGGAAGCAAATGTATGAGTTTTTAATGGCAGTAGTTGGTTTTCACACAATCAGGGTTTAAGTCCAACCGTGTTAGTGTAGCATGATTGAGGTCAACAAGCATTAATATGATTATTTAAAAGTAAGGGGTTGAGTATCTTTGAGTCATTTTTTATGATATTACTGACCCCTAAGATACCAAATCGTTCACACATGGTCCAGCCACACAGGAAGTCGATCTCAAAGTTGTGGTTCAGGATGACAATGACATGCTCTTTGCCAAACATGTCCACTGTAGACTGTTCAGTGTAGAGGGTGCAATCTGTGCCGGACCACCATTCCAGCAGCATCACCAGCTCTGCACAGAGACAACAAAAGATCATTTGCTCTGCAAAGGCAGGTAATCCTTTATAGTGTGGAATTGTGCATTAGAGTACAAATGACACTTTACTTTTATTATTAACCTTTTTTTAATAGAAACTTGGTATTTTACGAGGAAGAATATAACTTATATATAAATATATATCAACATAATTTACTCACGACTCCAGAGAGAGTAAGAGAGCCGGCAGTTGATTCTGCGATAGAGCTGCTTGTTGATTGGCCAGAGAATACAGGTGCAGAGCTGAATGAAGTTTATGATGAGACCACTCACCACAAACACAAAGCCCATTAGCAACTGCAGGATGAAGAGGCTCTTTAGGTAGGTTAGTGGAGCCATGGCTGAGGAGCCTGGAGAGCTTATCAGGCTCCTTTCTATACACTAAGTCCTACCTAAGAGGGGGCAGAGCAGAAAACAATTACAAGATTAACAGCATTTTGTAGAGAAAAAATGAGACAGATTTAACTTTGTTAATCTACAGATAAACATGTTCTCAGACAAAAAATAAATAAATAAAACATACCACGCTGGATCCTTTTACAAGCCCCGTTTACACGGTCCGTCAGCCAATATCACTGACCTGTGGAAGTCAGGAGAAGAGGTTAAGAATGACAAGTGAAAAACGTATGTTAAATATAAGAGGCAGCTGCAGTATGGAGTCTTCATGCACGCACTGCATGTTTAAGTTATTTAGGTGTGGGCAGAAGGTTAACATGACACAAAACAGACAGCCAGTGTTCACAAGAATGTAGCTTTGGTCAGATTCATGGTAAATATAACAAATCTATTTTTACTTATTTTTTTAACAGACCTCAGCTCATACATTTCATATTCTGTTGGTTGGACTAAAAAAAAAAACAGGGTAAAGAACAGGATTTAGTTCTGAGTGAAAAATGTCTTTCAGCTGAGCAGATTTCTCCGTTCAGGTTTTGGTTTACAGAGTTCATGACCTGCATTTTATAACACATTGTAGACTTTGGCCAATGGTGTTGCCCACCATGATTGGCTTATTGCCAATAGAAGAGTTACAGTTTCAGTCCATGCTTTGTGCTATTCTTCTCAGGGTGCTCAGTTTGTTATCAAAAAAGTCAAAAACATTTTATTCACGTTAGAAAGAAACACATAATTGCCCATTGTTGAGATGACAGTTCGGCTGTTTCCTTGTTTGTATTAAGAGTCATCATAGGAAAACTTAAACACTGAGTTACATGCTTATTCTCAAACCATTAACAATGTTTTGGGTTACACTAAAACCTTGATTCAGCAAGGGTTCCCTCCCATAACAGTTTTGGGAGAGAACTTGTTTTGGTGTTACATTTGCTGGTTGGGAGGCCTTGTTGTCATAAAAATGCTTAATTCAGAAATCACAGAAAGTCAACAGGCAAACCTGCCTAATCCATACCTAAAAAAAACTACCATTCAAATCATACAGGCTGCTAGCTCAGATGCTGATGCTGTTTCATGAGGTGACTGTATTTAAAAAATTCACAACAGTAGATAGCAGAACTCCATCTCAAATAGGTGGATTTCACAGGGTTATAAATTCAGTTTACATCCTGGGATTCAGGCTACACACCAATAACACCATATCATCAGACTCACATATACTGGCTTAGACCCTATGTATTCTTGCTCACTGTCAACCTTAATTGTCTTGACTTTTGTGAAACCTTTTTAAAATCTGAATTGTTCTCTTACAAATCTGTGTGGCAGTCTATGAACATGTAAGCCATCGTGGGTCTACCATTGCTTTGTTTTACATCCTCTCTTTTCTGTTTAAGTTTTCACCATGATACTTTATAGCTTAAAGGACATAGATGCCAAAAATGCACGAGTAGCTCTTCTTGAAATCACTTACTCCAAAATGACATTTTGATAGTCCAGACTGAAATTTCTGAAGCTTTGGTTAACTTAACACAAATATTAACCTTAATTTGGTTATTAAAAACAAGCACTTTTAAAGTAAAGCATGGATACATCTTTCAGTACACTTTAATTACGCTTTAATTTAAGCAATCCATATTTTTACAGTAATCATAGCGGAAATCATAATTATATTCCTTAAAAACAATCTTAGTATAGAAAACAAAGACTACATTAAAACACAGTGGATTTAAGTTGAAGTTCTTTGTCGATATTCAACAAGTATTACTCATTGCAATACCTCTATAACATTTAAACAATACAAGCAGCCTCAGGGTGAAGGAAATTGAATCTTACATGTGCTTCCAGAGAACTTCAGGACAGGCTCTGGGGCAAATGAACATCAAACTATTTCTCAATCTCTGTAAGGACTCACTTAAGTGTTGTAATACTGACACGTGGTACCTGTGTGTCATCTATCCTCTGATTACAAGTCCAAACAGCCACGATTGTCTCCATAATATGTCCAAGAGATGACCTTTGTCTCTACTGGGAGAGGGGGACTGGAAATTATTATTATTGCACATTTTACTTGTGGCTCCTGATACTTATTCTGGTAAGTCTGTAGGCTTCAATACCAAATTGAACTGTGTTCACAGACGAGGGTTTTTGGAAGTGTTTTGGAGCCCATGCAGTGATGTCCACTACAGAATCTTGACTTATCTTTTTGTAAAATGCTGTGTGAAATCTGAGAGCCAAAAGATAACAGCAACTAGGGCGGTTGCAAAAATGAATGACCACAATATTAACACGCCAACCACTGAACAACAGTCACAACCGCTCATGAAGTCACCTCCCCCCACCTCATGGTCATACAAAAACAAAAGCAACTGCACGAGTGCTAAACTAGGGCTGGCCAATTAATCAACTTTCAATTTCAATAACAATTTTGGTTTCCCGGGATCATGAAGACAAGATAATTGAGATGTTGTGCTCGACTTCTTTTGTGTCGCAGCACACAGTTATCTCTAAAATCACTTCCCCTGTAGCCAACAAAAAAAACACGATAGTGCATTTTTTTCAAAACCTGTACAATAGCTGACACGCTGCACGGACATTGACAACGTCTAGAACCCAGGTTACCGCGACAGCTCTAGCAAGCCCGTACACGGTCTTACCGTCATGCCTGTGCATATTTCTAGTCAGAGCTAACATGCACGGAGGGTGCTTACAACATATATTACCTGTTTGTAGCAGAAATAATTAACCAGTTCAACCCTGAATACACCCTGCCATACAGAACCCAGTTTACCCACTTGATGGATTAGAAATATGAAACAACCTTTCTGAAGTTAAACGTGGCACACACACACACATTTTTACATTTCATTTATGTAATCATACAAAACAATTCATTAAGAAACAATATTGAGATTGATGACCAAAAAGTGAATTTTGATTAGAACTTTTGGCTGCAATAATATAAAATATTTCAAATTGATACGTTGAATGCTCACTGTATACACTGCATGGATCTTTGCACTTAAAATGTTGACTAAAATCCCTTTCTGTGGACACATTTCTTAAAAGTAAGTAAGTAATCATGAAAGAGTTCAACTGCTCCCTCACACTGACAGTTCATGTGTGGACCAGCCATGCCACAGAGGCATACCTTGGAGGGTCTTGCCATTTCATCACTAAAGATTGGCAAAACAATACCAAGAGGCCACCATGCCTCTGGAGGAGAGGCATACTGCTGCAAACGTCATGACATGGATGAAGAAAAATTAGACATCTATGGCCTGGCACACACTACAAGATTTTTAAAATGTGAGAGACCCCACACATGACAACAAATCATGACAGAGTAACAGTTCAGTTTTTATAGTGTGTGTGGTGTGTGCAACTAGACGACCAACTCAGCAAACCAAACACTAGAGTAAACAAACATGATGGTCAAGCTAAATGTGGCTAGCTGGTACATCCAAAACATTTGGGTCCAACTCTGTTCCTTGTCAGTTGGATTGGGGTTAGTTTTACAGGACACACTGTAAAAACACTGTTGTTGCCACAAATCAACAAGTTGGTCCTGAATTTATGACATCCATCTTGTCTTTAGGGTTAGGGTTCTGTTCCATGTGACAATTCACAGAGTCTGTGCTCGGCCGTCCTAGGTGTTCTCCCTACACAACAGGATTTATGATCGTAAATATTGAAGACGGATAATATTTACGATTTCAAATTCGGCAGCCCCAATCATCTTCCGAGCAGATCAGGAAGGTTAAAATCACTCTTAACACACCTCACACCACAGGAGAAAATGGCAAGGTAATGTATGGATCCATCATATAGTTGGGCTTTACTGACTCTGGTTTTAAGTCGGGTTTTAGGCCCAAAATCAGCACGGATATCTTGTAGTGTGTACCCGGCTTAACCTACCAAGAAAAAAAGCTGTAGTTCATGACAATGAGTCAAATATGGAAGCAGCAATGTGAATGCTTGAAAAGGGGAATTGTTGGGCCTCTCTTCACTGCACTGGTCACACAGCTCATTGTCAACAGTGCCCTCACAGAGCCCAACATCAGCAGAGCTGTAGGAGCAGCTACAAACTTTGTAGAACACTTGGTTGAGAAGCAAGCTGGCTAATATAAAACAACAGCAAATAAATACAGCACAACACAAGTTGATTCAGGATGTCAAGTGGGAGCAGTACATGGCCAGTCACTGCCACTTTATCCAATCCTGAGGTGACTCCAAGGGGCAAACACTACTTTGACTTAAAGCAAGATCAATTGGTTCTGCTTAAAGAGCTGGTTCAAGGCTTACTGCCTTTTAAATGTGCTACTGTTTACCTTAGTGGACTATAGTATGCCACAGCTTCAGGTCTTCCCTAGCTGGTCAAAAGATGCAACGGTCCATACAGAAAAACTTGTTTTGAGACAAGCCCATCAAAAGCCTTTCTGGCCAGTGCAGGAAAAGGGATACATAAGAGATGGGGGAATCTGAACTGCATCTCAGCAGAGAGAAACAACCCAGTTGCTCTTGTTCCAAAAGTCTTACAATGGTGGGGCCAGTGATCTTAAATATCCACAAATTTAACTTGACATCAAGCCCTGAGTACCCTTAATACTAGCTGCTGTACAATGTCCTTTTCTGACATGAAATATGATTGAGTATACTCTTGTGGTGGATTGACAATGCAACATTATATAGGTCATGGCTAACACAGCCCAGGAGACCTTCCAGAAGAACACTGGGCATCCTGGCTTGTTTGGACCCAAATTCAAAATATCATCCAATAAATCCGTACTACCTGCTGACTTAATATTTTAATTGACAGACACACAGGATGTAATCCTTGAGAAGTTGTCTGACCTGATTAAAGTTGTGTCCTTGTCCTTCACTTGTTTCCCTCTCTGTCCTCCTGCTTCTCACCAAAGTCACATGATGTGCTTGCAAGAGTGTTAGTTCATCAAACAGGGGCGAATCCAGACTTTTTGACTGGGGTGGCATGAAGTTTGTGTGCATCCACAAACAAATCTAATCTGTTATTTATCCTTGTTAAAAAATATTGTTAAATTTGATAATTAACAAAAAATACGAGTAAAAAAAACGTGTTTGTTTTGTAGAAGTTAAGTTTGTTCCCTGCTCCTGCTATTTTAACTTGATTGCAGTGAGTAGGGTGGAGCAGGTGTAGGGCATCTCTTCAACATAGTA